AAAGGTCATCTCACTTTGATATGTTTTTGATTATATACAAATACCTTGCGTTGTGTTATAGCTGCCTCGTAAAATGATCGGAGTTTTGATACTTGCAAGCTCTTATAGAAGTTCTATTTCTTGTAATAGAGATAAACTGAAAGGGCCATTACTTCTCTAAGTTTTTCAAGGCTTCAATCAAGTATAGGCCAATGCTAGTCGTAACTTCTGTCTAAGTATTTCAATTTTGTGCTAAAAATTTGAGAGATATATGGCTTTGCGTTATCGTTAATGGGAGCAAATAATTAGAATTGAGTAATTCTTTTTTTTAACGCTAATTTTCTTATCCATTAAGTTAAGAATAATCCATTTTTGGAGGCAAAAGCGGTAGTTCTTGCAAAATATAGCCAAGGATTAATCATTTCTATTGGCGTATGATCTAATGTCAACAATAGTTAAGTGAAAGAGTGCAATATCATATTTTAATCTCAATAAAACTCAATTTCGAATTCATATTACAAATACTCATCCTTTGCTTGTGAGCCCTTCCCCTAACAGATGAAGTGACCATTTCTACTTGATTCGTCCGAATGACAAATTTTAATGCTGCTTGATGAATAAAATAAAATATCCTTAGCCATCCTTGAATAAATAAACTTCATCAGCCATTAAAATCATTAAAATGTGGCTAGCAAGGCAGAGCATTGTACAAGATAAGAAATAAGATTATTGCATGAATTACCTTAAAGTTAAATCAAGAGAGAGTATATCATATCTTTAATTTTACGTAATGTATAATGTTTTTAGCACTAAGTATAGCTTTTTGCAAAACCTAAAAGCTAGATGGAACTACAATCATTGGGCTCATAATTTGTTTAGTTAAGACAATAGTAGGACACAAAAGCATGAATCAAAAATGAATCTAAAAATATGAAAGCCAGGTACTTGTAGGGAAAGACCGTTTGAGTCAAATGCGACCACTTGCAATGTCTCAGTAGAGACAAGCACTCTAGCCAACATCCTGGCTCCAGCATCTCCAAGGCCATTGCCACTGATATCTAAACAACGTAACCGAGTGGAAGCAGCCAGATCACTAAGAAATAGGACCAAAACTCCTTTCATACGAGAGTTGGCCAGGGAAAGACTTTCGAGGCTCTGAAAATCGAAAAAAATAGGCAAACACTTATTTATTATTATTATTGAAAGGATTTCAATATTTAAAGAATGCACAGGTAA